ACTGAGCTTCTCGGGACAAGTTCTTGTGCATCAATATGACTGTCCCAGTGGGACAGACTGTATTATTAGGGGCATTTTACAGTCATTGATTATGACACAAATCAGCTTTGGGGGGGGGTACTGTTGAATTGAAATGACTTTTTTTCCCCCAGTAGAGGATGGATTTTTTGCTTCACATTTCTGAAGATTGGGTTTTCCGATGCGGTGTAAAGACCTTGGCGGAATAGGATGTTGTTGATGTGAAGTCAGTGTAGGATGTTTATAAGATGAGGTCTGTGGCTGCTTATATGGCTCAGTTGGTGAAGACGCTTGTAGCTAAGCCTGAGGACCTGAGTCTAATCCCTGAGACCCACACTGGAGAAGGACAGAACAAAGCCCATCAGGATGTCCTCTGATTTGTACACACACAGTATGACATCTCTGTGTGTGTGTGTGTGTGTGTGTGTGTATGTAGGTACTTTCATATATCCTTATTTGTGACTGCACAGTTGTACACACATGCAGTAAATAAATGTAATTTTAAAAACTAAAAGACTGATGTCTGGAATTAATTATGCAACAGATACTTAAGCATCAGTGGGATATGGAAAGAAAATTTATTTTTAGAATGCTTTTTCTCCTAAGAATTATTAAGCTTTGTGAGCAATCAATTAAATTCAAAACAACATTTATGGTGTATGTAAAAAAAAAGATTACAAAGAAATTAGCTTTCTTCCCCCTGAGCAGCAAAAGACCATATTGGTTTGAAATGACAGAGGGAGAGAAGGGTTACTGAATCAGATAATAGAGGTGGCCACAATTAAGAATGGACATGTTGGTTCTAGGGTGACTACGGAAGATGAGAACGCATGTTTTGTTACATCTTGTCTGAAGCTACCTATTTCTACAACCAGTGACTGTTCACAGTTATAGCAGAGGCGGCCTGCTTCTGAAACTTAGGAACTGTGAACTCCCACAACATTCAGGGTAAGGGTTCTTTTGTTTGTTTCTTCTCTTCTCTTCTCTTCTCTTCTCTTCTCTTCTCTTCTCTTCTCTTCTCTTCTCCTCTCCTCTCCTCTCCTCTTCTCTCTCTCTCTCTCTCTCTCTCTCTCTCTTTCTTGTCTTTTTTTTTTTCAAGACAGGTTTTCTCTGTAGCTTTGGAGCCTGTCCTGGAACTAGCTCTTGTAGAGCAAACTGGCCTTGAACTCACAGACCTCTGCCTGCCTCTGCCTCCCAAGTGCTGGGATCAAAGGTATTTACCACCACTGCCCAGCAAGGATTCTTTAAATAGCACACACCTAATATTTGGCTACAAGCACCATTTTCATTGAGTAGCATGGTGCGAGGTTAAAATGAAGTCTTTTGGCTGGGTCTGTTTCTCACAGTTACCCGAGGTCTTTTCCATAGAGATTCATGAGTGTTTTTCCTGATGCCTTTTCCAAAAGACCAGATGTCTAGCATTCAGATTACATGGAAGCTACCCTTTGAAGGCACCAGTTTCTTGTAGTCCTCCGTTGGGAATAAAAGAATAGATTCCAGGGCTGGAAGCAACCCCCACATAAGCCCCTTTTAGGAACTTGGAGGGAGGTGGTTAGTTACTCTTCAGGAGAAGGCCAGTGGCACGGCAGGAGTCTTATTCAGTGTTCTGTTGCTATGAAGAGACTCCATGACCGCAGCCACTCTTCTGAAGGAAAGCATTTAACTGGAGCTGGCTCACAGTTGAGAGGTTTAGTCCATTATCATCACGGTGGGAGGCACGGGGGTGTGCAAGCAGACATAGTCCTGGAGAGTAGCTGAGAGCAAAAGAGAGTGAGCCCCTGGGTCTGGCTTGAGCTTCTGAGCATTCGAAGTTCACCCCACCCTTAGTGACACACTTCCTCCAGTACAATCACGCCTACTTCAACGGTCACACCTCTTAATACACTGTGAACCTATGGGGACCATTTTCCTTCAAACTGTCACAGCAGGCGACAGCTGCAGGTGGAGAGTTTTAGTTTTTCTTTTCTTTTTCTTTTATTATACTGGGGTCTCAAACCCAGGACATCATGCAAGCTAGGCAGGCACTCTACGATTGAGCTACAAGTCCAGCCCTCTTTTCGTTGTTTTTTGTTTGCTTTTTTTTTTTTTTTTTTTTTTTTTTTTTTTACAAAATTTCTCTGCGTAGCCCTGGCTGTCCTGGTCTACTCTAGAATTCACAGAGATCTACCTACCTCTGTCTCTTGAGTGCTGGGATTAAAGGTGTGTGCCACCATTACCACCACCAGGTTGAGGGTTTTAGAATTCCCTTGGTTCTCAATACCTTTGCTGATGTTTGTGGATGATGATGACAACAGAGAAGTTTCTATGTAACAGACAAAACTAGCAGGCCTACCAGGGAAAGATGTGTCTCTGACTGAAGAGAAGACTTGGAGCTTCCTGAATTGGGAAGGTCCCCATTGTCATAGCCAGAGCTGTCCAGTGAAGACAAGGCTTTATGCAATCTGGATAGAAACAAGGATCAGAGTAATGCCATGGACCTTTAGGGCATAGATTCTCAGATCTCAAGGCTTTGACTGTCCACGGTCTGCACTTATGGCTGAATGAGGGGGGTGTTACTGTAGTTAGGGCACACATGGGGGTATTTTTGACAATCCTTTAAATTACCCCATCATTCTGGCTTAACATCACTGCTAACTGACCACTGCTGTTGGGAGTATATGGAATCAATTTTTCCAAATAGAACTTTTACTATAGCTCCTTCTATAATAGCAAATTACCCCATGGTTCTTCAGTTCATTTACTGTTTTATAGAAGTTCTTAGAGTATCTAGAGAGTCTCCTTCCCCTTCCTGTCATCCCCCTTCCTCAACCCTCTTCTAGTATCTTACTATGTAGCACAGGTTGTCCTCAAACTTGAAATTACCTCATTTTAGCCTTCCGAATCTGAGATTTGATGTATGGACCATCTTAGCCTAAAGGATCTCATTTTGAATTCATGGATTCACCCAAATTCATACACTTTATACCAGCGTAAATATCTTTTATCTTTTCTCAGCTGGCATGTCTGAGGGCAGATTATTCAGCTATCCAAACATTTTATTTCTAGAAGAAATTTGTATTCCAAGAGTAAATTCAAGCCAGTGATAATAATATAATATTAGCTGTGTCTAGTTTATCATCTTACTTTTGAATCAGCTACATATAAGAATTAAGTCAGGAGTATCAGAGGAAATACTAGAAGGTCTGCAGAGGGTATGATGATCTCATACCCAAATTACCAGATCACGGACGTCTTTTTCTAAGCACGAGGGTGCATGATCCCAGACTTTAGAGTGTTACAGCAATGCACGGAGGAGAGTCAAGAAAGCTGCACAGGAGGGGTGGCTGAGTGCCACCATCAATAAAAGAAGCAGGGAAATTACTGAGTTTAGTTGGGGTTCTAGGGCTGACTCAGTTGAGTTGGCTTAAGGCTTCTAAAAGCCCTGCTGTGGCGGATATGACTCTTAACTAAGACAGGCAAACAGGGGACTCTAGACCCAAGGAAAGACGAAAGTACATAACGGGTCTTTATGGTTGAGCTGACACCCTGGTCAGCTTGCTCAGACTTTGTATGGCTGAAAAGAAAAGTGGTGTTGTAAGCCTAGACTCTTAAAAGAAAAAAATATCTTTTGGCACGTAACTGTTATGTTAAGTTTGTTGTTTAAGCATAAACATGCTTCTATTTTTCGTATTTAATTTTGATTATCTATTCTTTGAGGAGTTGATGAACATACACAATGTATTTGGACCATATTCACTTTACACTCCTCCCAGAAGTTCCTCATCTCCCTCCCAACTTCAATTTTTTTTTCTTTACAGCCTATTAACTCCAATTAGAACCATCTGCACATGTATATAAGGCCATCCACAAGAGCTTGGGCAACTTAGAAGGAACCTAAAAAGAAAACTGAGCCCCCCTCCTTCAGTCTATCAACTGCCAGTAGCTCTTAGCTCGGGAGTGGGGCCTTGTGAACTCTTTCTCCTCCCAATAAGCATGCTTTTTTTATAACCTAAAACAAAAGTATAACCCTTGGAATACTTTTTTATTAACATATTTTACATAAATATGGTTAACTATGAAAAAAGTCAGCTTTTATTTTAACTTATCATCTTTTTATGACTAAGTTCAATAGGCAAAAGAGAGCTCATGTTAGTTTTAAATTAATTAAAATTCAAAGGATTTTTAGCAATCTGATTATCCACTTTGTCCTCCTTGTCACAGGATGAAGGGGACCATCTGTTAGAGGCCACTTGTAGCAACCTGAAGGCAGTTTAAGCTGCAAAAGACATATGATGACCTTCTTCTGGTTTTCAGGCCTGAATTTGGGAAAGCAAGAATCAAGAAGAGTTGGTCAAGACACAAGATGTAAGTCCTACCTAACTGGAATTAAGAAATAATTCTGACAACATTGTAGAATCATAGTTAGCAGTAGTTGCTAGGAGCTTAACTTTGAATTTTGGGAAAGCATGGGATCTTTCTGAAAACAGCTTAAAAGCATATTACAGACAAAAATAACAGTGTTTTATTGATAAAAATTACTCATGGGCATAAAATAAGAATTATTTTACATAAAGACCCACATTCTAATTTGACTTGCTTTGTACATTATCTGTATAACAATTTACAACAGATGTTTTTTTTCTTTCTTTCTTTCTTTCTTTCTTTTTTTTTTTTTTTTTAATTTTTGAGACAGGGTTTCTCCGTAGCTTTTGGTTCCTGTCCTGGAACTAGCTCTTGTAGACCAGGCTGGCCTCGAACTCACAGAGATCCTCCTGCCTCTGCCTCCCGAGTGCTGGGATTAAAGGCGTGAGCCACCACCGCCCGGCAACAGATGTTTTCTTAATATGTTTATTTATCTAAATGTACACATACATTCAAATAACTGGTATTTTGAAAATGTTTGGCATACTGCCACCACCCTACCAGCCACCTGTGCTAGACAGAGAGATGCTACTCTCATCCTTACTCAGAGAAGCTTCTCTTTGCAGTGAAAGCAGGGCTCCATGGCTTCTAGGTGCCGAGAGTACATCACAGCTGAGTCCATGATATCAGAGCATCTACTTGAAGCTTGGAGGGGAGCTGGGGAGAGGAGGGAACACCGGATGAGGCAATGTGAGAGTAGGAAGAAAGGGGGAAGGGCTACAAAGTACTCTCTTCTGGGCATGACAAAGCCACTGGAAACACCAGCCTACAGCAGCTGTGCACGGCCCCGGGGCAATAGATTGGGTTTGTCAACAGGCAGCCATAGATTCTACAGGGGCACAAGCGCCTACCTCTCTCTGCTGCACAATTAGCTACTGGTGGATCTTAGAGGTGAGGGAACCTGTGGTCTTCAGTTGTGTAGCCTCCAGGTTTAACCCAGTGGTCACACAAAGATCCTGGTTCAAATCTGTGGGTCACAAACGGGAAGACTGTAGATGGGGCCCTTGTGGGAGTGAAGTGTATGTTCCGTGGGTACCTGAGAAGAGAGTATGTTCTGCTCTTGTCGAATGAACTGTTCTGTATATCCAGTTCCATCAGTCAGTTTAGATGCTTTCAGTTTCTTGGTGTTCTTCGTGTTTGCCTCCTTGCCTTCCTATCAGTAGCTGAGAGGGGAGAGGGTCGTGAGGTCACTAATGTAACTGGATTTGCTCTGATATCCTATTTGGGGCTGAGTACCATGGCCTTTCCTTTAACGAAGCATCTCATGGGATTCATGTCCTGTCAAAACTACTTTTGGGAAGTTCAGAATTAAACAAACAAACAAAAAATTCTGGTGTTCCTATGAGACCATAGGAAGCTAGCACTGGCTCATGGCTTACAAATGCTAATTCTCCTGATAGCCAGGGCTCAGAAACACTTAGACCTAGCTCCCCACTCTTCTTATTGGTCATCTCTCCCCTAAGTGTACTCCCTTTTGCTCATCAAAGTCACACTCCCCAAGTCTGTTATCTTGCGTCACATATTCATAGCTCTGTTGCTTGGTGTATCCTGTTAGAAATCGTATGTCTTCATAGTGCAGAAGTTATTTTATCAGTAGAGAATATTCTGTTTTCTGGTAATTTTCTTGGCTCTTAAATCTGGAGCCGTTTCTGATTTGATAACTTACTTTATTTCCTTTTCCTACATGTCAATATGGCTATTTGAGGTGAGTTTCTTGAGGGCAATGTCTAAATAGGTCTTTTGTCTTCACATTTCAAACTTTCAGTCTGCCTTTTTACTTGTAAGTTTAGACCATTGATATTTAGTGTACTTACTGATGTATTGGGGTTATGAATATTTTTTCTGTCTATATTACTTGGTTTCTTTTTACTGTCTTCATGTTGGTTACCTGAACTCTTTAAAATATCATCTTAATTCATCTTTAGTGTTTTAGTATAAGCTTTTGTACAGTTTTTTAGTGTATGCTATCACATTATGTAAATATTCTTATCACAATCTCTCAGCACAATTTTGTCAGTTCAAGTGGGGTATAGAATCTTAACCCCCTTCATATATCCCTATTTCCTCTTATAAAGAATATAAGCTCTTCTACATCCATTTAAAACCACATCAAACAGTATTATCGTTTTTATTTCAAGCATCAAATATACCTTAGAGTTGAAAAGGAAAAGGGAAGCTGCTGTCCTTGCATTCTTTTGCTCAAATGTTCTTTTCCTTTTGCTGATATTCTAAGGTTACTTTTTATTTGTTGCTTTCTATTTGGGGAATTTTATTTAGGTATCCTTTTAAAAATATTTGTATATTTTTATTTTATGGTATGGGTGTTTTACCTGCATTCCTGTAGGTCCACTGTGGGTATGCCTGATGTCCGTAGGTCCACCGTGAGTATGCCTGATGTCCATAGGTCCACTGTAGTGTGCCTGATGTCCGTAGGTCCACCGTGAGTATGCTTGATGTCTGTAGAGGTCACAAGAGAGGGTCAGAGGAACTTGCTTCTCTCCAAGGGAGAATAAATGCTGCAAATGCTTGATCAATGATCAGGAAGAAAACTGAAATTGAACAAAGTAATTTTTATGTTAATTTCTTTTTAACCCAATATAGAGAGAAAACTTATATCCTAGCCTCTGTCCAACTCCGTATCAGAAATGGAACCAACTGAGGCCTCAAGCAATAACAGTGACAGGAACTGTACAATAGAAAACTTCAAGAAGGAATTTTACCCCATCGTATACCTGGTAATATTCGTCTGGGGAGCCTTGGGAAATGGCTTCTCCATTTATGTCTTGCTACAGACTTATAAGAAGTCCACGTCTGTAAATGTTTTCATGCTCAACCTGGCCATTTCAGACTTTTTGTTCATAAGTACCCTGCCCTTCAGGGCTGACTACTACTTAAGAGAGTCCAATTGGATATTTGGGGATCTGACCTGCAGAGTTATGTCTTATTCCTTATATGTCAACATGTACACTAGCATTTATTTCCTAACTGTGCTGAGTGTTGTGCGTTTCCTGGCCACTGTCCACCCTTTCCAGCAGCTCCACGTCACCAGCGTCAAGACCGCCTGGATCCTCTGTGGGATCATATGGGTTTTTATCATGGCTTCCTCAGCCATGCTTCTGAAGAATGGCTCTGAGAAGAAGAACGACATTATACTGTGCCTGGAGATAAGTCCCCTGAAGTTTAAGAAGCTACTGATCATGAACCACATTGCGTTGGTGGCAGGCTTCCTGCTCCCATTTGCCATACTCACCATCTGCTACCTACTGATCATCCGGGTCTTGTTAAAGGTGGAGATTCCAGAATCGGGTCTGCGGGCTTCTCACAGGAAGGCCTTGGTCACCATCATCATTGCCATGGTGATCTTTCTCCTGTGTTTCCTGCCTTACCATGCACTGCGGACCCTCCACCTGGTCACATGGAAAGCAGGTGCCTGTGGAGACGCGTTGCATAAGGCCACGGTCATCACGCTGGCCTTGGCTGCGACCAATAGCTGCTTCAATCCCTTTCTCTACTACTTTGCTGGGGAGAATTTCAAAGATCGATTAAGAGATGTAGTCAACAAAGATTGTCTACGGAAGGCAAAGACAAAGTGCTGTCTTCCTCAGATAGCTGAAGAGCAGAAATAAGAGTTCGGGGAGTTGTTATGCAGGTGTGCTCGTGACTCTTGGTGTTCACCTTCATTCCCTCATGGTCTCCAAATACTTTGTATTTACATCATAACCAACACATCTTGGTTCCCAGCATTGAATTGACCACAACGTTTGCGAATAAAGCCTATTTCAGAGATGTCATTGGATGCATTTTTAATAGTTGGGACTAAATGAGAAATGTAGAGGAAGTATTTCTCCTGGAATCTTGCACACTGAAACATGACATTGGGGAAAATGGCCAAGCACAGTCATGTCAGCTTAGCCATGCTATGCTAAGTCTCTGGTCCAGGCAGTCTAAATTCCCAACTTTAAGACATCCTCAAGCACCCCAGCTTCTCAACTTCTTCCCCTATTAAAGCCCTTGAGATATAGCCAAACCTACTGGGGGCCTCCGTGTAGCATGGAGAACATCCTAAGAACTCAGGAGCAGACTTTGGTTTGAAGAGGAAGACTGCCCTGTAACAAAGCAAGTCCAGACAAGGTTGGTGAGAGGAAAAGGAGGAGAAGGACTAACAGAAAAGAGAGTGAATGATACAGAGAGGTAAAGAGTAATTTCATGTTGCCCCAAGAGCAAACCAAGTAGAGGAATGTGCCTGCTTTGTATTTTTTGCCAGGGATTTGGAAGACCAAAGAGTGGAGTGGGCTGGAATCACTTCTCTAGGAGATACAGAGATCATGTGTGGAAAAGGGAAGAGGTGGAGTCATGAACTTGTATCTCAGTTTTACTTTTAGACCTGGGTTTGGATTGGCATCAATGTAGTCATCGCTCCCTCCTATTGACCCACTGTTGTCGGGGCCAGCTTGATTAGGGAAATAGCCAGGCCAGCTTAAATTAAACAATTATATTTTTAATTGTTATAAGGGGAAACTCATGCCACAAGAATGGGAAGTTCGAGTTCTTCTGTGTCTGGCGGGAATTGCCCAGAGAGAGTGCATACCTGGTCTGTCCCAGTTTTTCTTCCTGAGCTCCAGGTAGCCACGCCTTAACTAGGCGTGATTGGTTAACAGAGCTTCCCCAACATCTCCCTCTTTTGTCTAAACAAGATCTATCCAAAACCAATACAACCATATACAATAGGAACAGATACCAAATATAAAATTACAAACAATATAAACAATATTAAGCAAGAAACACATAGCAAAAGTTTTACTAAACATTTTATTTTAAGGAGTCTAAATCTTGCATTGAAATTAAGCTTGGCTAAATGATGAGGAAGGTAACTTCAACTATCCAGTCTTCAACCCCATCAATGATCTAAGAGGGAAAATAATATTACTTGAGTAAGCAGGAAGTGCAATTGAGCAACTACCAAATCGTGCAACAAATGACAGAGACAACTGGCTACCTGGGCAATCACCCGAAGTCTCATTTGCAATGTTGAAGCAACCAACTTTGGCTAAGGCCTAAAATGACTGACAGACCATGTTCAAAGGCAAGAAACTTTTTAAAACTATCTTACCCTGTCTTGGCAAGATTTGACAGTCCTGTTTTATCCATTTATGGATACTATGTATCTTTGTCAGTGGTTCAGGTATGGGCATTTCTTTGTCCAAAGGCCAGTTCTGCCAAGAAGAAAACAAGCTCCGGGTGGAATGTCTTTGGTGCTCAACATTTTCTCTGGAAAAGGTCTGTGCTGCCAGGAGCAATTATGTCTCACGTTAATAGAACTCTAAGTTATTTAAATGCCATTTTCTACAGTTCTTTGAAGTGGTTGAGGATTATCTATCTATGCAGAATATAATCTCTATGTATCTAAAGAACTTCATTAGTCTAACTATAAGTATGACAAGCATAGATGACTATTGATCTATAATTCTTAATACCTATATAACTTAAAGACTAAGACAATAAACAACTGCGTAATAAATGAGGACAATGACCTCCAAATGTAAACAATGTATAAGTATCTTGATCAGAGGTAGAAATGTACACTGTAATATTGTAAATATATATATATATATAATGTTTTAAACAGGTAGAAGCATGCATGCATACAATATTATTTAACTTTGTATAAATATACAAGAATCTATACCAATGTAATTGTTTATAAATAATAACTCACAAACCAATCTATTATCCCATCATCAACTCCCCCCCCCCTTTTTTTACAAAAGGATCCCTGAGCTTATAAAATTTTACCCCAACCCTCAACCGTATACCAATTATAATCAACCCCTAAATGATGTTTCTAACCCTGAGGACAAACTTTCCTAGGAGAGGGGATGTCGTCTTCTAGAATTACTTCCAGCTGTAATGGGGATGACTTTTCTACTGGATTCTGTGAAAGGAAAATGAAGGTTAAGTTTCAAGATTAATGTCTGGTAAGACTGCAAATAGTCTTTGAGTATTTTGTGGAGGTCTGGCCAGAATGTTGTAAAGATGTGCACTATTTTAGCTAACCAAGTTGGAACTATCTTGTGCAGCTGGTACCCAAAACAGGTCTTGTAGTAGTGCTACGTCATATCAACCAGGTGGAGTTGTTGTTGTGGGGGCCCCATCTTCTTCCTGGAAACCTCAAAGATTACTGCAGAAAAATTCATTGTTCATTGTGGAAAACTTAAGCATTATTTATATAGACAGGGTCTGCAGTCTCGGAAGTGTGCTGGGGGGTAGTGCACAGGGCGGCTACAGAGCTTGGTGCTGGGTGCAAGCTCCTCAGCCATTGCCTTACAGAGGCATTGGCAGAGCTAGGATAGGTCGAGTTCCTCTGCCTTTTCTGCCCTTGCCTCCTGCTTCCCTGCCCTGCCTAAGCTTCTGCAAGCGCAGAAAAATTAGACCCCAAAATCAGCCAGTAGCGGCCAAACAGGGCCCCTGTGTGGGAATTCTATGCCATGGTGTTGGGTGCCAAGTGTTGGGGCTAGCTCCACTCCCCAGTCCAGCTTAAATATAAACAATTATATTTTTAGCTCGTTATAAGGGGAAACGCACGCCACAAGAATGGGAAGTCTGAATTCCTCTGTGTCTGGCTGGAATTGCCCAGAGAGGATGGGCACCTGGTCTGTCCAGTTTTTCTTCCTGGGCTCCAGGTAGCCACACCTTAACCAGGCTCCACTTCTTAAAGGTGATTGGTTAACAGAGCTTCCCCCTCACCCTGGGATGACAGTTGAGATACAGGAGGTGGTGCTATGGTTTGAGTTGAGCCTTTGGGAAAAGTGTTGGGCAGAACAGGAGAAGTGGTATTTAAAAAAAAAAAAAGGCCCTTGATATCAGAAAAAGACGCTTTCTAGCCACAGAAACCGGTTACAGATACTACCGGTTAATCACATGCACAGTGTGTTGACCACAGCAGTCAAGTGCTATCCCCAGGCTGAGAAGCCTGAGCAGGTGCTCTACAACCACGTCACACTCACAAGAAAGCACAGACATTTCACAGATGGAGGAATGAAAGCTCAGAGAAATTGAGAAGTGGGCCCACGTCTAGACAGCTAATTAGAGCTTTAAACAGAAATATTGACCGAATGGTCTCCCCGTCCCCCCCCCCCCCATCACGCCTGTGAACCTCCAGAAACCCTGCTCTGAAGTGTGGATGAAAATTCTGTCTCTTGGTCAGGCACATGAAAAACCATTCTCATCCTTACAAGAAAACCAAGGTTTGGGGGCTGGAGAGATGGTTTGGGGATTGCTCTTGCAGAGGCCCCCAGGTTTGGTTCCTAATACCCACAGAGAGACTCACAGCCATCAGCCACTCCAGCGCCACAGGATTTAATGCCCTCTTTGTGGCCTCTGTAGGCGTGCACATGGCGCACAGACAGACAAAACATTCATACATGTAAAAATTCTTAAAAACAACACCAAAAAGCAAAGCTAAGGTTATCTCCTTGCAGCTGTTGTCCCCTGGCTCAGGGGAGGGTGAAAGGAAGGCTGGGTTCTGGAGTCAGAGGGTTCTACAAGGAGAAGACTCTGGGACCTTCCTTTATTCAGCTACCAGAATGATGACAGACAGATGTCAGAGGAGGCCCTGGAACATCTGCCTAAAGGAAAACTCCCCTATCCCAGAGAAAAGGTTAACAGATATTTGGGAATCCTCCAACCCCAAATCTTGGCATCTGCCCTATCATTTACATGACAGTGAAGCCAATAATCAAATAGACCCCCTTCATTCCCAGAAAGCATCTGGCCATCTCAATCCAGTCCCACCCTTAACCATGAGAGTCAATGACCACACACCTCCAATGAAAAACCCCTAAGATGGAAGGCACCAAAAAGGAAGAGCACAGAGGGAGACATCAGTAGGAAAGGGCCCAGCACTTATTACTCTAACACTTGACTCAGAAAGCACTGATGTGCTACTCCCAGGTGAGAGGAGACAGGTAACCAAGAAAACAGGAATCCAACAAAGGGGAAGACAGCTTCTAGGAGGGTTAGAAAGCAACGCATATAGGTTAGGGCAGGAATGCCAGGGGACTCCAGGAGGGATAGCGCCAGGAATAAAAAACCACTGTGTTTTGGTTTAAGTAAAATGCTGCAGATACCCCAGCGGTGGCAGGCAATGGGCAGCAGGTACTGAGACCTCAGCAGGCCACAAAGGCAGCCAGTCCTGGGCAGAGAGCAAGTCCCAGGCAGGGAGCCACATGGTGGGTGAGAGACTGAGATGGATAGACATGCCACAAGACCACACCGCAGGTCTCTGAAGGTAGCTGGTCCAGGGCAGGAGCCACCCGGTGGGTGAGAGACAGAGACACAGTTAGATATTTATTTAGTGGGTTATGGAGGGGAAAGTGAAAGTGAAAGGGGGAAGGGGAGAGGGGAGAAGAGGAGAGAGAGAAACAAAGAAGGGGGAAGGGGAGAAGTAGGGAGAAGGGAGAGAGGCAGAAGCTGCCTCTTCAGAGAGAGACAGAAAGGAAGGAACTTGGGCTACAAGCAGGAAGGAAGATCTGCCTGCCTCAGTGGAGAAGTGGGGAGGGGGGAGTGGGTGGGGCTTGTCTCTTAAAGGGACAGGACAGAGCATTACACTTGAGGAACACACATGGAGAGGGAGAGCTTGGGATGAAATAGTGGTAAATGCATAGATGAACAGCACAATGCAGTCACTATTACACTAGAGAAGAAAAGTGTTAGCTAGGAACATGAATAATAACTCGCTCTCACCACGTAGTTGAATATTTACACAGAGAACGATGCAAACAGAAACACTAGGATAAACTCTCAGAAAACGAGTGGGGTGGAAACGCAAGTAGGGGGAAACCTTGCCGTCTTCCACCAGGGAGAATTCATGCTAACCAAAGCTGGGGAGCAATAAACAGCCACACAGCATGCTGTCTAGCGCTAGGGAGAAAATGCAGGGAGAAGGGTGGGATGTTTGT